ATAAACCAGATAGTATACAACAGTGACAGGACGTCGTATCAGGTAGGGTAATAAATGATCACATATCCAAAAATACTTGTATTATGAGCAGACATGTGATAAAGAAGCATATCAACTGCCCACTGTAGATGACACGTGAGGTATAGTACCCAAAGTACAATACTCTATTCAGTAGTGTGTCATAGAATTCACAATGAAACAAAATATACTCGAACGGCAGTGTACCACAAGCAGGATGTGTAACACTTAGCCGAGTTTTCTAACATACAAAACAAGCATCTCATTTGTTACCGTAATCATCGGTAATTTTCAGCCGAGTTTCCCAATTTCTTGGACAATGTTCCTCAGAATTACAGACGTACGTCTCATGCCGGTGGTCATTACAATATGGGAGTGACTTGTGTTCACTAGGACAAGTCGCCCCCAGCAGGGGCCTGTCGACTCCGGACTGTGCCCACGTGTCACGCGCTACACGGTCCTAATTAGGCCGATACATGCCTTGTCTCCGTAACCCCGTCAGGAGGACGTTCTCGTAGCGTTACGTTATCACCATCACAACCACTTAAATCAATTATACGCATGCTCAAAACAATAATGACATGCGTAATGACGGGGTCCAAACCTATAAAGGAACGGTTGCACGTGCAGCGGGCGCGCTCAAAATGGCATCAACTTTCGTTAAGTTCAGGCATCGCTTAAAATTGATCAGAAAATGATTGCAAATAAGTCGTTATGAATTCAAATGCGAATTGTAGCAACGCATTAAACTGTGTAACAAGGAGCAATGATACCCCGGCGGAGCTTGTCATCATATCACAGTCCTGACCCACTCCCCTACCCTAACAAGGATCATTGAGATCTCGTCGGGTCACGTCATCTGTCCACTCCTGGTCCTCTCCCCATCCAACTTATGTTTGTAATGATGACGTACTGGGTAAGGATTATATAGTTCAAGTTCAAGTTCAAGTTCAAATATTGTATTTTCGTGTCAAACATATAGTATTCATAAAATCACAATTATACATATATACCTTTGAAAATAAAATGTGTCTAGCCGAAATGACTTATTAGACACGTTATAAGAACAATCACACTATTTACTATCTTCAGACATGTAATGTTATTAACCAGTCTTTGTAAAACAATTATGCTTGATACAATTTTATTGATAGCAGGACTATAATTTCCATATATATATATATAATACCATGTCCCCCAACAGGGTAAGAGATATACAAGAGTGGTTGGGCCTATCCCTACCGACAAATTATATATATCCACCCCATACCTAGACAAATAATTATAATGCAAAATTTAATATGGGAGAAACATAGTTCTTCTCCTCCACATAAGAGAAAGTTGGGTAGCTAATGTCTTTTGGAGAACTGGTTCACATATCACATATCTGAACTGTTCAAATGGGTTTGTATCATTGAAAATTCATATACATTGTTTGCTTTCGTTAAAATTACAGATCTAAGATCATCATAAAATATACATTCCATTAAAAAATGATACTCGTTTTCTACATCATTGTTGCATAATTTACATACCCTATTATTGACAGGAATCACAGGTCGGGCATGCCTACCTTTTTCAATTTTAAGGGACAAAGAGCCACATCTAAAGTTAAATAAAAAAATCTTTAACATTCGAGATGTACAGATTTTACAAAACCGCTAGTGACAGGCTCATACTTGTAAGTTCTATATGTACGCAGTTTATTACCATTTACATTGTTTGTGTCATCCCACAAAGACAACTGCCACTTATCATCATCTTCAAAACTCAGGACATTCTTAATATCCTTAATATCCTTCATACATTTGTACGTTGATGTATTTGCGGTTAAAACTTCACTTACATTTTTCTCCGCTATCAGACTAACAACCCGAGAGGCCCAGGATTTTCTAATAGAACATGACCCTTTATGAATTGTCTGCAGTAGTCTGCTATCATCGCAATTCTTTATACATGTACGTAAATATAGTCTAAAAACTTCAGTTAATTGGTTAACTTCATATGAATTCCAACCCATATCTCCTCGAAGGGCTACATTACTTGCTTTTCTAGCAGTACCCAGAAAATACCTGTATGCTTTATTTTGAATCATAGCCAATTCTCTATATTTATTCAGACCCCAGATTCCAGTACCATAAAATAGCACTAGTTCTACCAGGGATACATACAGCTTACAGTAAACTTCATAACACATTTCTCCAGCATGTACATACTTGGAATAAAGAGCATACAATGCTCTCCTTGCAGATTTACACAATTCTTTAAGGTCACAATTAACACATTTATTATTTTATACGGTATTCTTACCGATTTCGCCAACTTTGATATGACGTCATACTTTAATGGACAAAATGAAACCGATTTTTTTATTTTTTTTATTGGGAACGCCAGTTTTGTTTCAGCTGGTTTAATCATACACCATACAAACACCGTGGTACCAATTCCTATAGCAGTATGGCTGTAACAGGGAATCAGCAACTAGTGTTAAATTGTTTTAATCTGAAAGTTTATGTAACTGCGCAAATAGATGTCATGATTTACCCCACAATTGGCCTTCCCAAGTTCAGGTCATAACTATAAAATGTGATGCTCACCGTCACCCGACATTTCCATACGTATACTGTAATGCAAAAGACGGAAGTTGCTTCACACAAACTTCAGAACGACTGCCGTTTGAGTATGGACTTTTGTCAAATGTAAGTATACAGACTGTCAAATTTCATTTGTATATGTGTATCTTATTCAAAATGTATATAACATATTGACATTGCTTCAGCTTACCAGACGATCAAATAGTTGGAAAATATAAAATATTTTGAACAGATTTGATGATCTGTCGGTGGCAATCAAGTTCAAATCTGTCTATACGAAATATGTAAAGAAGTGCAACAGGCAGGAGAAAGATAAAAATGCAACAGCCAGACCGGGATTCGAACCAGGAACCCTCCGAAATCTAGACGGACGCTCCACCAATTGAACTACCTGGTCGCCGACGATGGACTCAGTCCAGTTCCGCTAAACTGGATTAAACTGTGATATTAACCAAATAATGACCATCTTCATTTATGACCTTGACCTTCTTGCCTCTTATTTTGATGCTGAAATTACAAAACCAACAAATTGGAATTCAATATAGTATCATACCCTAGCTAGTATTATAAACAATTTAGTGTCAGGTACCTTTTACCACCCTGTGCTGTCCCTTTATCGGGGTTCTCACCCCGTTTGCCATTTCTCCTTATACGGTCATGTTGTCCTGTTACCATGTCACTTTATCATGTCTCATCAAAACATGTTCGAGAAAAACGCCTTTTTGGTTAAGTTTCCCCCTTTTTTGTTGTTTCACAATTATAACTAATACTATTATCCATATGCTGTAAAGCGCTTAAGAGTAATTTTACAAACTATATAGGGCGCTATATAAATGTAGTATATCATTATTATTAAACATACCTGCTTAATATATTTGAAAGGTGAAACGACATTGTATTACCATTGTGGGATCCTGGAGGTAGGTTCAAATTAATTTTAAAACTTGGGATAAAAAAAAGTCTAAACAGAAATCCTAACCAAAGTTTGGTATAATAAAGTTTATACGTACTTGTCCTTAACCGCATTGCCTTTGACTTTTAAAAATGAATTATCAAAAGAAATCTATAAAAAATATTTTTGTGTCATATATTGTGTTAAATTATCAATTTTTATGATACTATTTCTCTTTCATACTTTTTGAAGAACTCAACCATGCATCTTTTTCCTGTTTTCAAGTATTATGTTGTGAGCGAAGATATTGCACTAATTAAATTAAATTCAAATTCAAGTTCAAAATTGATTTGCACATTTATAACTACAAAGTAGTTTGAAGGCAAAACAGTAAAACACAGCGAAATACATGAATATACATGTACATGTAGAAAAGTCGCAAAGTGATTGCTTATATTATTAACATGAACAAAATTAAAATAAATTCAAATAGAAAATTTGATTTAAACATTTTTATTGAGTTTGTTTGCTGATATTGCTGAACAAATTTGTGGTCAATTACCTATTATATAACTGAATTGTAATACAAGTACATTTAGAAATAAAAGCTGGGTATTCTAATTTTGTCCTTATTTTACCGGTGTGACCTTGAAACCCGATAAAAGGTCCCCTACCTCGAGCTTACAATTTTAAACCCGCGAATATAAATCTTCTAAGGACAATTTGCGAAACTAGCTGTTTTTTATTTATTCTTAAAATTAGCTACTCGAGATAGTAAAATATGGGATTGTTTAAATCTGTATCTGATTTGTGTTCGGAATTAAAATTCAAGTATGTAGGTAATTACTGTACAATCGCTTTCAAACGTACAATAAACAATCGGTAACCATGGATTGCAAGAGCGATTTCAATCGTAAAAGACCACTCGTATTGGGTAGGATGCACATATTCCTGTAAAGTTAGTAGTATTGCTTACTATAAGATTGGTTTTATTGTGTAGGTTTCGTGAGTACATAGACAGTTACATTTACCATGGTGTGTTGGGTATGAAGGAGACACTGATTTTCACTAGAAATACCGCTGTTTGTAAACGAAACATTAAAATAGTTCTTTTCTGTCGTTGGTTTCACTAGCATCGATATCGCCTTGAAGCAGCTTAGCGGAGAAGGTTTGTAATGCAAACTCCTCACACTTTAAAGTTCACTATATATAAAACTGTTGATTGACGGACAGTGGTACGACAGAGGCGTGTGTTGACAGGCCGACTGTCTGCCTTCTCACACCTCCAGAGTATCGCGACAAATCACAGTGCCGACGTTACAGATCGATAATGTGTTATCCGCCGGGCGGAGCTAGCGGCACCACCTCCCCTCTACCTATCGCGCAGTGATACGGCGTTTGTCACACGTGGACCAGCCGTTGAGTGACAACAATATTTAGATTAAACACTCCGAGGTTGAGTATAATCCTTTCACTAATGATAGGGGTAGTTCTGGAGAAGGGTCTGTGTTCTACCAAGGTCACCCTCTCATTCCAATCTACAAAATAATGTTATAAATCTGTCATTTATATTAAACTTCTGGATATAGGTTCAAATCATCGACTCGTAGAAGACGACCATATTATACAAGGTAAGCAAGGGTTTCTTTATACTATTGTTGTTTGGAACACAATTGGTTATTTTTTTTAATTGAAAATGCAAATATATTTCTTTCTCTTCTTCAATTTTGACATATCCATGGTGATTTACAAAAAGGAAATTTATTCTGAAAGAGCTACACCGACAAACTTTCATTTTATTCACTACTTACATTTGTTTATAGCAGTAACTTGCTATTATACCTACTCCTTAGAGGCATTCTACTAACAATACCAAATAATGTTTTACATGATAATTCACTCGAGTTTAAAGCTTCAAAATAAGGACAGAATCAACCACACTGTAGGGCAGAGTATATAGTAAGCAAGTAAACCGGTATCTTGAACTTTTCAATATTTATCACTTCTAATGTACATTTTATTTAATTCTATTTTGGTTCATTTTGATTCTATTCAATAGTTAAGGACCGACATGTTCATCCATTCATAATATCACCAAGAATTTAGTGGCCCCAAACACTTGTACATGTATTATGAAGTTTCACGATTTCAAAAATAAGACACTATTTTAGTATATCATATTTAGATAATAATAGAACAACATATTACGTTCTAAAAATAACATCTCACATACTGCGCTCAGTTTACACATTTGACAAGATGTTTTTTTAATTCTTGAAATTCTATTATTATCATTTCTTATTATTGTATTTGTGGAAACACGTACTTATTTATTAAACCCCCGAGTAATAGACCTCCGGTGACATTTAGTAGATAAACATATATATACAACATATGTTTAGGCAGCGGTCCCGTCAGGTCAAACGAAAAGGTCACAATATGTGCAGTGCATATAGTAAAAGTGGTACAAATACGTGATAATTTATTACACATTCAAAGATGTTCTAATGTAGGTGTACATGCTAATCACATTAACTCGTTCTAATTGGATAAAATATATACATAACATCTAAGGTCGTTTTGTATTAAGACAAGTATTTATCACTTTTTTTTTTTACAATTTGGGGTAAACGCTTAAAATATTCGTACATTTTTGTCCATTATTTTCTGCCATTGGATCGAGCGCTACAAATTGTTCAGCGGTGTTAACAAGCGACCATCCGCTAGGGTTTCACCGAAATTCCACTGACAACCACAAGGTAGAGAGTTTCACTATTTTTTACTGACCACTCTGTAGACAAGTTTCACTAATTTTTACTGACCACTCTGTAGGCAACCTCTCCTAGAGTGTCACTAATTTCTACTGATCACTGACAACGACACGATAGTGTCACTAATTTCTACTGATCATTGACAACCACACGGTACACGATCACCAATATTTATAATATATGTACTAATTTTGAAACACATTTTAAATACTATGTTGTTCAATTTTATAACACCGCTCACTCTTAGTTACAATTGTATGCAGATCGACAGGTATCTAATATTTTACGCTCCGGCAAATGCGTTCTGTCGATTTCAAGATAAGTAACAAATATCACTGCTATTATGCTTTGTTCTATAAACAAAATATATGTAAATAAGGACATATTATATTTTTCGTAATTTGTGTATACGTGCCAAAATATCTATTAACCTCACAGACAATTTCATAGACTAGACATCTACCACTTCCTTGTTCGATTTAAATCTCAAGTACTCGAATTTGTCATATGTGCATTTATATTTAAAGCTGGTTGTACGTAAACACGGGTCATTCTCCAATATTAATTCCGGAAACTGTACCTTTATTTACCTTCCGATTTTATCTTTATGTTAATCCATCAGAATATATTTAAAAAAAAAAATAGTATAAAATATAAACATTTAGTAAATCACTATGCGTATAAGATAAAATTTAGCAATTTCGTCGTAATCTATAAACTGTAAGCGATTTCATACCGACATGTTCAGTGTTTGAAAATTAAATTAAGCTCACGTATATTTATCACGTACATGTATATTCTGAAGAGTGTTCTACGATTTGTTTCTTTTGAGCAGGATGTTGTTTCATTAACCATATTTCTCATAGACATATGTAATGAAACGTTACCCTGCATTCAATTATAATTTTTTCAAATTTAGTATGTAACCATTTTCGAATTTGTGAGTTCTTTTACCTGCATTGTATTGTTTCTATCGGTAACCATCGGATGTAGCTGCAATCAAATAATTTCAAGACATGATATTCGATTTTTCTAGTTTTTTGTTTGACTGTATATTTTGCAGTAATTACATATTTGATACACATTTGGATAAAATGTGAATTCAGTAAATTAATCACAACTTACCTGACACAAATAGAATGGGTTTAATCCCTGGTTATATCTGAGCATTGAACATACTATCGGTGAAAGGCGTTGGGCTTGTAAAGGAGGGGTGGAAGAGCAAATTGAAGAGACCGGTATAGTTTCATATTTTCATTTCCCAGCAGCAGACTATATTATATAGATATTTATATTTTTCCATAATAAAACATTGTGATGGTTTTAAATTGTGCATTGCAAATATTTTCAAAAAATTATCAACATGATTAAAACCAAAATTACCAGAATTTTCGAAAACTTTTTTAGTGGGGAGGGGCCTTATCCTTTTCCATGGTCACAAATTATTAATATTGAAACCATACCCTCCTTATCTTGGAGAGTCCATGGGTAACGCTCACTTACATACTTTGCAGAATTTTGCAGCATAGCGTTTCGAGGATACACCCTCCTGTCACTAGCATACCCTATGATATTAGTCCTTGAACATTTATCTTAATCTGTCCGTCTGCCAACAAATTACTTGTAACATGAGACCAACCTAATCGTGATGATGGAGGTGGTGTAGATTTTGTCTCTTATTCGATGCAGTCTTATATTTCTATTGACCAGAATCACAGCTAATTAATTGATCACCTCTAGAAACACAAATCTCTATAATATATAACAAAGATGACGTATATTTATATTTTATTTGTCGTTCTATGTTGAATATTTTGCCCGTGTCCCGGGCCGGATATTGACAATGTCCGTTCCTTCTGTGTGGAACGTTTGACCCGTGTCCCCGGGATTGATATTCATGTTGACTCCAATGTGGAATGGGTGTGGTCCACGGACGTTTGTAAACACACACGGACAGCCATGACGTTTTTATAGCCCCGATATGCCTGTTTACTTAGCAGTATTACCTGTACGGCGCAGATGAGATAAGACGCTAATTGCAATTGAGCACTTGACAGGTAGCACAGATACGGGTGTATGTACCCATGTATATTAGTTCCAATACAGATAAGAGCCTTACCACACTTTGCTGTGGTAAGCACAGACCATGGAGACGTTAACATATTCACATCGAGAGTTTCTATCTAATTCATTTATGATCATGTTGATAACACTTTTTTCATTTGAGGATTAAGGAAAAGAAAAATTTGATAATATTCTAACTGACAGATTTCTGGTTCCTCCAAAAAAAAAAGTGTAGCTGTTTTCATAAGACTACGTTTAGGCTAATTTCTCCTTGGGCCCTTGCGCTTCGCACCGCAATGCATTCTGGGAGAGGTCAGTTTAGATATAGACTTTTAAAAATCTATCTAATCCCTTGTTTTAAACAACTTTCGGAACACTACAGCTTTTATATCGAATAACATTGTTGAAATGTAACTTTCAAGTTTAGCAGTCGTAATTTTATTGTGTTCTTTTCATAAATGTTGAAATATATTGAATCACTGGAATAACATTTGAACAATTTTACACCAGAATACGGTCATTAAGTACATATTTATGGTGAAACCAGTTAATTACATAAGGAAACAAACGACTAGAAATATTTCTCCGTATGGAGAAAGGATTGTGGCCAAAAACCGTTCTGCAACGCCACCTTTTGTGGTAAATCCCCATAACTTCCGGTTTCACGCCAAAATGCATTTCTAATAACAAAAAGTATTCTATTAACAAAAATGGATTTCCGGAATCTAGTAATTAGGATAACAGCTAACACGGATCCGGCGCTACCCATACAAGAAGATACACAAATTAATTATACATGAAATATGTTGAAGGTTTGCAATCCTTGATATTCACCGCATAATAAGTACGCAGTCATTGCTTTGAGGAAGTAGATCACGTGATGCCGTAAACTGTGAGTGACGATGCTAGTGTAATACACACCACCTAGTTTGACGTCATGATCGGTATGACCAGGCAGCCTTTCGGCAGGCGACTCTATTATAAGACATATTCATAGTATGTCATAATATGTCAATGTTGTATATGCCTGCTATGATTCAAATACTATGATAATTCATTGTATTTCGCAGGTTTGGAAGTGTTTAATACATGGCGTCTAAACTTTCACTTATAAATGACAAAAATTAGAATTAAAGATGCCAACGTATCATGGAAGAGAACCATTATATCGATATAGCTAGGAACAACTGAAGGTGATTCCAAACGACTGCGTCCATTGTATATAGGGGTTAAGTAGCTGGACAAACACGGTCAACACGCGCATTCATCACGTCGCTCAGTGTCTGGGGCGCGACTCACCATCACCCTCCATATGTCAGCCTCTCCCGCGAAATCCCGCGCGCCCCAACAATGATGCACACTCATGGTCACGTGACCGACGAGCAATGGCCAGTTTGAACATTGGCATGAATAAGTCAGATGCATTGGTTTGGAAGCTTGGTACTTCAGTTTTGAAAAGTGCAGTATAGTAAGCACTGTCCTTGTGTAGGGTACTCTCCGGAGACACCTGCTCTCCTGTTCCAAGTCGGTGCTAGGCTCGGACACCGGGAACATCATCGTTATATACAGAACAAGATTTCAGAAATCCAACAGATATACGCATTACACATGTGTTGGGGGTCATGTTTCGGTAAATAAACTTACTAGTATACAGTTTGGAACTGTGAACAGTCAATGGAATGTGCCCTTGGATGCTGTCGCCATTAAATTCTCCTCGCCCCTTGGGTGGCCTGCGTTTCAACTTGCTCCAGTTAATAATTTTCCGATAACTGGAAAATAATTTCCCCACCTATAGA